TCAAAATGTAAGGTGAACATGATGACTTATCAATTCACAATAGAGTGAGTTATATCTAACATATCCTTATAGGTGGGTTACAAGTCTTGTCTTACATGTCCCTACCAATTTCATTCTATTCCTAAAGCAAAATTCTGTCCAACCTACCAAACAAGCCCTCATAAAACACAAGGTGAACCAAGTAGCTAATGTTAAGTTCCTAAATAAATTGAACACTTGGGTTGTAAGACCCAGGTTTTTGAACCAGAACAAGTAAACAAAACGGTTTTATATTCCCTTTTTCTTCTCTCCTTATTTTCTTGTATTGGAGAGGGCGTGATAATAGAAGCCATGATTGGTTTTGTAGAATTCCTTTCTCACTATATATAAATAAAGCTACTTGATCGACGTATGCTTCAATTTTAGAAGTGAATATAATTATATAAATGTATGCCCCTAGTATTTCTATAGGCTCTATGACTAATTAAACTAGCTTTTAGGCACTTCAACCATATCATTATTTTTATAAGCAACATTGTCATATCCAACTCATTCTGTAGGCCTCCACTAACTTTTCTTCTTCTTTTGGTTTATGCCGCATAATTCTGCGTAAACTTCAAATAATAATAGTATTAATAAACATCACCTTTGGTTGCAGTTCACACTACCCAGATTGGCTCCTTTGAATCATAGCCCTGAACCCCCAAGTCCCAACAATTCTAAAGCTCATGGATGGGACGAGGTTGGAGTATCTTCAACAGGCTAAATGAGGTTTTTTGGCTACTTTAACAAAAAATGTAAAACAAACACCAAACTTTAATAGGCTAGCTATCTTAACTTTGTGAATAGTAAGTAGCTAAATTTAGTTAGAAGGAAAGCAAAAGTTAAAATATTTGCTAAACATTAAAAACTATAAAATGCATTGTTTGTGGGCTTCAAGAGAAGAAAAAAAAGGCTTGGATTGATAAATTTAGAAACAAATAATATTAAAATATTTTAACTTAAGCTAAAGTAGCTAGTTTTGTTGGAAATGGTGGCTAGCCAAGTTAACATCCAGTCATTTGATTAGCTAGCTGTTGGAGATGCTCTTATGTAGAAATGGCAACTCAATTCATTAGGTTGTTAATGAATACCTGTTAAGACCCATGTAAATTGATATCACCATAATATAGAGGTAATATTGATAGTGAGGATGATGATTAAGGTGCAATCAGACTAAATAGATTTTAATGGTACCATTAATAACTCAGTGTATTGATTTGACCTCTCTACTATTATATGATATTTCAGGTGACTCCAAAATTCCTTAATTTTCTTTTAATTTTAGTTTATAATTTTCTGTACTTTTTAAATTTCGGTCGGTTCCCCATAGAATTTTTGCTTTAGTGATGCAGGGCCATGGCATTGATACTCATTAGAGTGTTATAAAAAAATATTTTAAAAATAAATTTAGATATAAAACAAGGAAAAACATATGCAAATGTGACAACCGTCCTAATAAAAAACTTGAAAACGCAGATGTAATGTCCGACCAAATTGACATAAAGTTTAGAGAACACAAAAGATGTTCCCTGACATGAGAAAGAGACAAAGCCGGAATTGGATACTGAGGAATAATCAAAACCCTACATTACCAAGGTGCATGCATATATTGCATAAACATCGATCTCACGTGTTGATCATGCCATGAATTATTAATTTATCCTCCTAGTTCTGTATATATCAGTTCATACAAAAACAGAGATTTGGTGTTTGTCCTAATTTTATAATTTATCAATCAAAGTGTATGTGTGCAATGTGCATGCATGTATCTAGTGCTATGATTAAATTTCCCTTCCCGGCCCCGGTTGCTTTTCTTCTTTCTTCTTAGAAATAAGAGTATTAGTGTCCGAAATAATGTAGTAAATAGTTTGAGTTGCGGATTATGTACATGAAATCATTCTTATATTTGGTAAAACCAATGATGGGAACGAACAATGCCACATGAATTTATCAAACCCAGCTATATATAGAGAAGTATTTTCTCATTACGTGATAAATTCTTCTTTTTTTTTCTTTAATAAATTACCATAAATGTAAATTTGTAATACTATATGTTACATATGTAATGCAAATGTATTATTGGAAGGCAAACTATATTTTTTTGTTTCCATTCGCCATAATTTTCTATGAATCAAAGGAGTGTTATTTAAAAAAAAAAAAAAACTAAAAGACGAGAAAAGAAAAAAAAAAAACTTACTGCAAAACTCTGAATCTTATTTCATATACACGACAGAAAGAATACAACAAAATTATCAAGAAAGCTACGTAACACGAAAAGACTAGTATACATCTCGCCAAACTTGAGTTATAAGAAGTGCATTTATAAGAACTGAAGTCTGAACAAATAGGAAAGGCTACAAAAGCCCTAATAACTAATAGAAAATTATTCATAAAATATAGCTTATTACTACAAAACCCTAATACTTAAAATACCAAAATGCACTTACATAATAATAAACCAAATTGCTAATAACCAGTTAACTTTTCAAAAGGCTAAACATATATGCAGCAACTTTTATCTAATAAGGGAGGCTGGAACTTGGATTTCTTCAACAAAGTGGAAAAAATATCAGTATATCAACAGTTAGTTGATTAAATACACCAATAGTTTAGTTGCAAGATTGACTATGCATAATCTAGTTTAGTAGGCTACAACTTCTTCCTGTTAATTAAAATTGCACTAATTAACCGCAGTGGAGGACTACATCTACTTCCCTTTCTTTAATTATCACTCGCACATTGTCAACTTTTGAGCAACTTTAATCACCAATTTGCTATGATATTTGATGACCGTCTACTGTGCTTTAATATAAGTGGGATGAAAATTAAATACAGGGAATTAATTAAAGTTTTAGCCTTTCTGCTAGGTAACCAGAGCATTTACTTCCTAACTATTATCGGCCTGCTGAAAATGGCAAAATTATATGTACATTTGACGGTTGTAAAGTTCATAGTTAACTGCAATGGCATGTAACTTTGGTGATCAAGAGCATCTACAATCCCACGTCTAGGCTTAATTTGCGAAGCTCGAATCGCGTTTGAGATTAAACTTCCGTCTCAATGAACTTTTAGCCCAATTAATGAAGAGCATTTACCCTTACCCTTGATATCCCTGAGTCCAAATCTATCCTTCTCACTTGTATAAGAAACATGTGTAAACTTCCTTTACAAAAAGATTAAGTGTTATAAACCATTAAAAGTATAACTACATAAATCCAACTTAAAAATAAAACGTGCCGATAATACAAGATTATTGGACCAATGCCAAGTTGCGGTGAACAAAAGCCGACCTACTAGCCGGAGACAGTAGGGTGTGGGGACTGATAGCTCAAGAAAAAAAAAATATCAAGGAGTCTGTGTTTAACTATATTTTGCAGACCACGTACCGGTACCGTGCCAATTGATAATTGGATTTTTTTTTTTTTAATGATTTAAAGAAGAAATTGACAGTGGTGGAAAGGAGTTGGGTTTAGCATGATGGTATGGGTTCGAACTCCGTCGGTGGCTAATTTAACATTTAATTTAACAAAATCTATAATTTGACAAACAAAAAAAAATCTAATCATCAACCCGCCCATGTTATATTGTCTACAAAATATGATTCAATTAGATGGTTTCTCTCGTATCACCCTAAAATAATATAAGAAGATTAGAGCTCTAACAATTGTGATTAATTTTCATATTCACTGGGAAATCGGGTGGTGAGCTGTCAAATGCTGTACCTTCTCATTATTCATCAGAGATTCAGAATGTAGCTTGGGGTTTGTGACTATTAATTAGTAGCCTGAGGCTATGCGAGGTACTTGAATTATTTGCCAAAAAAGGGGAAAATGGAAAAAGAGAAAAGAGGTGCTCGGATAAAAGAAAAGAAAAACAAAGAAAGTATGACCGCTTTGTAGCATTTGTGGAACCTGCTTCAATGTCGTGAACAGCCACACTTACACAAGTGGAATCAAACTGTGTAATTGATTGTCGTTTTGGAATATGAAGTATTGATTAAGGAGAAGATGAAGCTCCATGATAATTAGTTTTGGCCCATTAGTGCAAACGTGATCTACGTGTCATTATTAGTTTAAAGAAAGGATCACGAAATTGATTAAATTTCAAATCATCACGGTGCAAAGTGAAAAAATTGAAATGTCATGGCTCATTTAAAAATCACTCCAAACATGTCGAATGTGAAACGTAGTTAGCCCTAAATTTTAAGTGATCATATAATCGTTCTCGATTTTTCATTTATTTTATAAATTGATTGATGCTAAAAACGAAAAAAAAATAAGTTATTTTTTTCATATGCCTTACCTATTTTGAGTAAGATTTTCAATGAATATTATCTAGTAATCTAAATAAAAGTAATCAATAAGATGAGAATTAGTCTCCTATTGGTTGAGTTGCTGGAATTAGTGTATATATTTATGGAGTCCCTTCACATAGCAAGCTATATTTCTGATCAGATAAGTTTATCTATTTCCATTTGGCAATAAGGCTAGCTAGGTATATAAGTAGCTGAGCCAGTACAATATCGGTTGGTGATATTAATATATAGGACCACAAAAAAGGATTCTCAATCACCCTATGATCTCTGCAATTGTCAGCTTAAACTTGTAGATTGATATATGCAAAACCTTTTATTAGGCATCCACCAAGAGATGGACAAATTTGTTCTTGTACGATCAAGGAAATTCCAATTAAGAAACACAACGAAAAAACCTAGAATCTCCAACCCATGAAGCGAAAAGAAGAAGATTAAATAAAGTTTAATGACCTGTTACTTCAAAAAAAATCATTACGCACCGGCATTGTTTTTCTGATGATATAAGTGTGATTCTTGTGACATCCCGTCCTGAAACTATCGAAACACATATGTGAAATGACCCCTTTTACCCTAGTTTGTTTTGTTATGTTGTGTGGTTGTTTGTGTGGTGTTGGCAAGTGTTGGGCCACACACACACACACTGTCTCACTCTCCCTCTCCCTCTGTCATTTTCTCTGTCTCTCTCTCTCCCGAGTCCTCATTCCTTCTTCTTCTTCCTTCAAACGTACGAACACACACCAAGAACCATCAAACCGTAGCAGATCGAGGAAACTAAGGGCTCAGTCGTGATCGTGAGGTCGAGGGGAGCACGATCATACCATTTTCAGGTAAGAACTCCGACGTTTTCACGTCGATTTCACAAGCTCCGTTTGGGGTACTATTCATGCAAACTTTTTTCACCACGTTTTTGGGATTTTGAAGCTCATAGGTGGCTTGGTGAGGTCCCAAGGAGTCTCGGAGTGACTCGTTGGACGAAGTTGGACGTCGGGATAGCTTGGTTCGAGGTTGGCCGGTTTTGGAGTTTGTGGACAGGTATGATCTTGTGGTTTTTAGCCTTTAAAAGTAGTATAGCGTGGTTCTACTAGTCCTAAGCTTCAATTTGGTGCAAAAATCATGAAAAACGGTTGAGAAACGAGTGAGAAAATAAAGTTAGAAGTTTTTCCAGTTTCCGGCGCCGGCGACAGCACCGGAGACTGAACGGAGAAGGAGACGAAATATTCCGTCAATTCTAACGGAATATTCCTGACGCCGTTAACGGAATCTGTCAAAACTGACGGAATATTCCTAACGGCGTCAGTTGACGCCGTCCGTGTGCACCGCACGTGCCTACGCGTGGCCGGCGCGTGCGGCGGTGGAAAATTTTTCTAAAAATATGGTTGTGATCCTGAGGTTGTGTAGAGCACGATGGTATATTCAATTGTCCATTTTGAGCAATGTATGAGAAGTTATTACGAAAGTTAGGTTATGTGCTTTAAAAGTAACGTTTTTATAGTTATTTCGCATATAGGTGATTCCTATCCCGAGGACGAGCGTGCGCACTCGAGGCAGGGGGGCTACGACCCTTCCACATACCAGTGAGTGGGCTTTTGATTTCCGTATATGCCTATATACATGTATTTTCCCAGAAATTGTTAAAAAGGGTTAATTGTTTTATGCCATGCACCATATTATTATCGTTTATGCATCATTGCATGCATTAGTAGTGACATACATATACATATGCATATTTGGTGCTGTGGACGCACAGGTAAGTGCCAGGTAAGTGGTATTCATGTTTATATATTCAATAGTGGTTGGAGATGCTTAGAGAGCTCATAACCTGCACCCCCGGTGTTAGTGCTCCCGCCCAGAGTAGGGCACAGTCCTTCACGTGTCGTTCACCTCCCGCACCACACGCTCAGCTTGGATCCAAGTTAGGTGCACAGTCTTGTCGTACAGACCACTTTAGGTGGTTCCGACTCGTAGGTGACCCGCGATTATTCGCACAGTCTTCACGTGATCGTAGCACTAGAGCGTTTATATATGTTACACCCAGGCCTGTCGTACAGACCACTTTAGGTGGTTCCGACTCGTGGGCAGGTTTAGTTATTGAGATTGAGATTTGAGCTCTAGATTCAGCCGTACAGGTCACTATAGGTGACTCCGGCTGCCAGTGATATGTTATTGATGTGATTTTTACCTGAGCACTTGCATATCATTATGAGGCTTTAAGATGGCATACCCTTGAGCATGATTGGCATATTTTTACATACCTATATATGTTTATTTTCTAGGAAGTATACAGGTTTTACGGCGAGGGGTTAGAATGTATTTTATTAAATGGTTTTCAAAGAGCTTTGTTTTTGCCCACTCACGCTTTTGTTTTGCGCCCCTCCAGGTTCTAGTGGTCTAGCAGTTTCGGTGGTTTTCCCAGAGGGCGTCCCGGCATTTCTGACAGACACTCACCGATGTAGGGTCACCTTCGGGTGCACTATTGTCGTATCATTTATTTTGGACTGCTGTAGATTTATGCTCTGAATTCAGCGTCTCACTTACGCTAGCACTTATCTTATCACATTGTGTATGCTAGTTTTTAAATTATTTGTACTTTTATATTACTTCTTTTAGCTTCCGCACTGTGCACATGGCTACGTCACTTCCACGTGACGGCCAGCATGCCCTGATCTCGGTCGTGGTGTGTCAATTCTAAATTAATATTCTTTCTTTAATATTATATAGAGAAAATTTCGAATTTGTAATTAGCAGGCAGAAGATTCATTGCCAAAGTTATCAGAGAATCATGATGTACAAAAGAATAAGCATATGAATAGAAAAGAAGAAAAAAGCATAGTAATTTATTAGAAAACCTTATTGTGTCTTTATCATCATCACAATGTAGAACGTGGCAGGTCCATATAATAAATTAAAAGTTTACAACAAAATGCAAACATGCTCCGAGACGATATAAAAACTATTTTTCAAAGAATTTTAGCCAAAATGATTTTTTAAGACTAACATCATTTCTCACTTAGGTTTTTACAATGAAAATTTATAGAAGTAGTCATTGAGTTTGTTTAATGTAAATCATTTTGACCATTCCGTAAAAAATATGACAATATTCTCGTTAGATTGTAACATGAACAACCACGTGATCACTTTTTTAAGAGTATTTTTGTCTAACCAGCCATCCCACTTAACGAGAATATTGACATATTTTTTTACAGAATGACCAAAATGAGTTACGGTAGACAAATGACCATTTCAAACGATTTTCATTATCAATGACCAAAATAAAGAGTTTTCATTTTCAAGCACCAAAATGAAATATGTCAATCTCAAGTATCATTTTGTTTAAAAAACCATTTCTAAAATCAAAATGCACGCACGTATTCATTTACAAAGGCTCAACAAGGAGGAGAGGTAATAAAGTCAAAGGGTCAAACTTGAAACCCTCTTTTTCTAACTATATAAATTTAATTACGTAAGTTAAACAAGCTGAAGTGTGTGCGCTTAATTATTTAATTAAAAAGTAATTAGACTTCCCAACTCCACCAAGTCCCCATTGCGGCTTTGTTAGTCAGTCCTATCCCTACATCTATCCTATCTCATCTCTCACATGCTTAACTTGCTCTCTCTTTTTAAACCCATCTTTGCATCTATAAAAGCCGACCCCTCTCTTTCCCGTACATCCATCTAACTCTCTCTTCCTTCTCTCTCTTCATTTTCTCCTCTCTCTCTCTTTCTCTCTCTCTCTCTCTCCCTCCAAGAACAAAGCAAGCAAAAAGAAGCAAGGAAAGCAATAAACAAACCCCTTTTTTGTGTGTGTGTCCATTTGGAGGAATTGATATTTGGAGATGGACATGGCGAAAGGAAGCAGAGGCTGCAAATTCTCATCATCACAACTCTCGGCAGAAACTCTCAATGAAACTGGCTCTCATGATCATGAGGAAGCTGAGGATCAGATGATGGACCTGCGAAGAGGTCCTTGGACGGTTGAGGAGGACCTAGCTCTCATGAATTACATTGCTAACCACGGCGAAGGCCGCTGGAACTCCCTCGCTCGCAGCGCAGGTAATTAATCATCAATTTAGGGTAGTGCTGTCAAACATCATTTTTTACCTTCCACATACTTCTCAATTTATTTAACGAATTGAAGAGGGTCAAATGATCGAAATTAACATGGTATATATGAAAGGTAAAAATAGGTGTGTGAATAATATCACTTTAAAGTTATGATCATATCAAATTAGTGTAAATTATCGTAAAAAAATAAAAATATTTGCTTAATAGTTGGGGTTTTTTTCCCACCTTTTTGTTTAGCTTATTGAGATGGGTTTTTCCTTAAACTGAAAATTACGTGGGAAAGAGTGAAACAAACTCCATAATTTGCACCGAACCAAATGTTTCTCTGTCTTTGTATAATTACTTGTGAGTGGAAATCTATATGCTTCTTTGATTTCAATTGTTTGACAAAAAAAAAAAAAAAATCATTCCTCTTCCATATTGGGTCCTTTGAAAAGGATTTGGCATTAGTGTGAAAAGCTTCACTTTTTCTTGAAAAAGAAAAAAAACTAGTGCGTAATTTAAAAAGATTTGGGATATGCTAGATATATTGATGATGTTGTGAGCTATATCTTCCATGATGATTTTGATAATTCATTAGTGAGCCTTATCCCCATATGCCACAAAAGCTTATATATTTCAGAGAACCCAATTGCCAGGAAATATGAGCAAAATGAAGGATCATAATTATTAATTATTTAAGTAGTTAATTTATATACGTTCTTAAAAGAACTTTACTTAGATTATTTAGATACATAATATCTGACAAAACTATTCAATTTTGCAACCGAACCCAGGTCTGAAAAGAACCGGAAAGAGCTGCAGATTACGGTGGCTCAACTATCTCCGCCCCGATGTCCGTCGTGGCAACATCACCCTTGAAGAACAGCTTCTGATTCTTGAGCTTCATTCTCGCTGGGGTAACAGGTAATTCTACATAATCATCATCAAAACATATAATAAATAATTCTAATAATCTATCTACATTTTTACCTCAAAAAAATAATCGATCTACATTTATGGATTTATATCCTTTATCTTTGCTTTCTCAAATTAACCCTAATGAGTAAATACTAAAAAAGGTCATTTTATTCTTCCTTTGTGCCAATCACTACAGATGGTCAAAAATTGCACAGCACTTGCCGGGAAGGACTGACAATGAGATAAAAAACTATTGGAGGACCCGTGTCCAAAAACACGCCAAGCAACTCAAATGTGATGTCAACAGCAAGCAGTTCAAGGACACCATGAGGTACCTCTGGATGCCTAGATTGGTTGAAAGAATTCAAGCCGCCGCGGCTGCCTCCACCACCACCAACGCCACCGCAACAGATTCCTCTATCACCGCCCCGGCTACCTCTCACCACTTCAGCAACAACTTCCAGTCTTCAGCACAAATGTTATTACAGCCAAGTCATCATCATCACTTCGGGGTTTCCTCACAGTCGCAACTCACACCGAGTTACAATACCCCGGAGAATTCTAGTACGGCAGCCTCATCGGACTCATTTGGGACTCAGGTGTCACCTGTTTCCGACCTCACTGATTATTACACCCCTTCTGCTGCTGCTGCTGCTATCTCGGTTAACAATAACCCTACCCCGGATAATAGTTACTTCGTCCAAGACAATCATCAAGTTGGTAATTACGACAACTACTCGGGGTCCTTCGGTAATCAAGGGTTGGGATTAGAACATTTCCAAACCATGGACGAGCAAAACAACAATTATCAGTGGGGCACTGTGGAAGGCGGGGACATATCGGACAATTGGTGGAATGTTGAGGACATGTGGTTCTTACAACAGCAGCTCAGCAGCATTTGATGATGGAACGTACGAAATTACTGTAAAAGAGGGTGAAAGTGATGCATTCATTTGTAGCTAGCGATAAAAACAAAACAAAAATGTAGAGAAAATATATTATGGGAAATAGAAGAAAAACCCATGAAATATAATTAATAATCTAGATATAGGATTTGTGAAGGACATAGATCTAATTGTGGATTGGTATCCGGTTTGTATTTTGT